ACTGCTCATGTCTGTGAGGTTTGATTTGGAGGGAGAGGGGAAGGCAAGGGGAAAAGAGCTTTTGCGGTTATGAAAACAAGCTTGAAACTAAAAGGATCCAAACTGAAAGGCAAATCACACCACAAAGCCTGCCACGCACTGCGTTCAAGCCAACCGATGGCCTGAAGAGCCCCGACTCAGGTTTTTCCAAGCGCCTCAGCCTGACAACAGGTTTTTACATGTTTTTGAAGCCCCTGATTTTGGCCTCGCAACCCCTGCTGCCGTCCCAGCACACCCCGACTGCCCCACCACAGCAGCACTCATTTCGGAGCAGCTGCCAGCTCTCTTCCCTGTGCCACGGAGCGTGCAAACTCGCACCAGCGCCGCCGCCACCAGGCCCATGGCAGCATGCACATGTTGGTGATCAACCATCACCAACCTCGCTCCGCGCCAGACGCCTCCTTCGTCTGCCCTGGAGGATGAGGCCTTGTTCTTTGGGACTAGTGAAAAGAGGAGAAAAGGAATTTACTTCATCTGCAAGCTATAAATCCTCCCCATCTTCCTGAGCCCAGCACAGACAGGAACAGCTGTGTGGCAGCGTTTCCCCAAGGCCCCAGCTCTGTTGATGATGCTGAAACACCAATTTAAGTGTAAAAGCTGGAAAGCAGGAGAGAAATAAGCAGCAGGGAAAGGAGGGAGGGCAACCATAGAATCACAGAATGGTTTGGGTTGGAAGGGACCTTGATCTAGTCAAAGATCATCTAGTCCAACCCTCCTGCCGTGGGCAGGGACAACTCTCAAAGCCTCATCCAACCTGACCTTGAACACTTCCGATGATAGGGCATCCAATGCTTTTAAAGGAAACAAAATTAATACTGTCTCCTTGGAAGAAGGCATTATTTTGCTTAAGAGATTTTTTTGCTCAGTGAGTACAGAGGATAAGACCCGCTATGCATGCTGTTGGACGGGGTCTGCTAAGGAACAGAGGGAAGAGGCAGGTAGCACCAAACATGTGTGAGCACAGAGAAAGGAGCCAAATACAAGAGGTGGACTGTCAGGACCCATGACTGGATGATGCCTCATCCATCTCGGGACCCATCTTCTCCCAACATGCAGAAGATGCTTTCCAACTGCAAACGCATCCAGCTGCATCTATGGACCACCCTTGGCCCTGGTGCCACTCTTTTAGAGCCACTGCTTGAATGTCTGGACATCTAATTTTGATTTCCAGCCTAACTCATTAACAGCTACACTTCCTCCCCATGCACACTTGTTTATCTTGTAGAAAATCATCTTCCCCAAGCTCAAACAGCTCTCCTCCCTCCGTGGGGTAAATAGAGCTGTGTAAGACGTCAGGCACCTGTATGTCCCAGGCACCGTGGTGCTCACGCCTCCCAGGATCAGGCAAGGTTAATCCCCCGCAAACTGTCACAGCGGGGAACACTAGCACTAAATCCTCCAGAAACCCAGCCCAGACCACCGCAGGTGGAAGTCTGGTCCGGTGTTTGTAGGACCTATAAAAACACAGCTGTGCTTGCCTCTCCAGCCAGCTGCACAGCAGAGACCCGTGCAGGACATTAATCAGAGCTGTGGTCTTATTTATTATTATTATTATTATTACTGCTACTACTACTGCAGTCATACTTGGGGGCCCCCAAACGGATCCCTGTGACAACAAGACATGGTCTCTGCTTTGATGAGTTGACAAATCTAGTTTGAAACAAGTTGCAGTGAGTCAGCGTGGCACATAGCGAGGAGGGGAGCTGGCAGCGCTGGGAAAATTGCTCACTTAGCTGGTCTAAACCACGCATACTTTGAGTGCTCCGGTCACATTAAAATGCTGCTGGTTTATAAACCGCTGGCTGTTGCGATTTCACTTTTTTCCCATCATTTAACCATTTCTAACTTGTTTTAAAGTTCTGTTGAGTAGCTTTTAATCTGGCTGATTTTTGTGCAGGTGTTGGGGAAAAAAATAAATAAAATCAAAGTCAAGGTGAGACCAAGGAAATGTCTTGGTGGGAGGGAGAGGGGGGGTACAGTCATTCCCCCGCCATGCGGACAGCGCCTGCTCCACAGCCTGTCACTCCAGTGTCTTTCCATTCCGCTTTCAATGCGTTCAAGAAATAAAACCACAAATGTATCAGCCAGGCAGACCCGCTATGTGCGAGCAACATAACTACAAAATAATAATAAAGAAATGTGAGGCCAGAGGATGCATTTTCCTGAATGTTAAAAGCAACAAGCTGAAGAAATTACCAGGAACAGAATTTGCCTGTCTCCCAGAGAGATTCCCGATACCATCCTTGGAGCCTCTGGTAGCAGGGAACCAACTCCAGCGACATAGCTGAGGCAGGCAAGGCTGTGCCAGGCTGTGATGTGCACGGCCGCTTTCTGCCCCATCGCAGCCCTGGGAGAGCCGTTCCCTGGAGCGGCGCCGCTGCTCGCTCTCATCTCCTGCAGAAGGATGCTGCGCGGCATGCCACACATGGGCAGAAAGCCCATGTGCCTCCAGCAAAGCACCTCCGGAGGGGCAGGAGGGATGAAAACACACTGGGGTAACAAGGGGATGCTGCAGCTCCTCCACCTATAGACTCACAGCTAACCAGATGGGAAAAACCTGTGACCAACGGAGAACTAATTTAGGCAAAACAACTCGCGGTGCCCTTTTACACAGGGAACCAGTGGGGCATGAAGCCATCTCCCAGGCTGAATTATTGCTGCAAAAACAATGGAGGTCATTGAAGAAACAATTAGGGAGCCTGGAGGAGAGAAGGGAGCCATAGAAAGTGAATGAAGCATGTTGGGCTAAATATTTTCTCGCTGTCCCCCCTTGTCTGCCAGATCCCAGAAGTCTCGTGTTCTCAGGCTTATATATGGCTGGGCTAATGGCTTTGCACCGGCTGCTGACACCGACCAGCAGCGTGTCACCTTCTGAAAGTGGATTAGCTTAAGCTGCAGGCACACTGTCACATCACTAAGCCAGTCCCTGACCAGGTCTTGGCCAACCCTTAGCTCTTCCAGGCCTGTCAGGTGACGATGGGATCTCCAAAAGCCCAGCATCAGACAAGGCCAGGGATTGGCACTGAAAAAGGCCTCCTGTGAGCTCCCGATGTCTCCTGGTTTCTAACAGACCTGGCGATGCTCAACTGCTTGCGGGACTGGGTAGTCAGTGTTGCATGAGGAACGTTTGTATGCCTCGTCTCCCCTTCTCAGCCTGCAGCGTCTGCTCTGCTCTTAGGGAAAGTCTCCTTCCCCAAATGCCAAGAAACAAAGAATTTTTTAGAAGGTGATAATGTTCCTCAGTCACATATAAGCGGATCTACAATCACTAAAGCACCGACAATTAAGGCATACTGACATTTTTCACAAAAAAAAATAGTGGTTGATCAACAACAGTTTTCCTAGGAAAAACAGTGTCATTTTCCATTATTATTTTAAATTTTAAGAGAATGAGAAAAATAAGAATTTCCACTTGACTTGAAGGTGACATTTTCGTTGCACTTCAGAAATGGATTATTTTTTACTTTTTTAATTCCAAATGTCTTTCTCTTCCTCTTACTCGCTAATGTTTTGTTACTGAAGGCAACAGAACAGGTGCATATGACTTCGCTTTTCCCCTCCAACACATTTTCTTTTTTCGTTCTGAATTCTCTGAAGTTAGAGTGGCAGAGGGAAAAAAACGAAACACTCGACAGACTTTTCCAACTTTCCTACATAATGTCCTTGACTTTAGAAAATCGCTCAAGTGCGAGATTTAATATGCTGCTTTGTTTTTCTTTCTCCTTTCCATTATTCTGCAGTCTTCCTGCAAATGCATACGCTTTCAAAAGATAGAGCAGAAAAAGGAAAAAAAGATACAGATGACATTTATTTTATTGCACTCAACACAGAAGAGGGAAAAGTGGTGATGGAACAAAGTAGAGCATCAAAACCAAAAATCAAAAGCTGGTTTGGCAATTTTCTTGAATACAGCTGAGGTTTTTCTTTGGGGGGAGGATGGAGAAGAGGAGGGGGAAGATTTTTCCACCCGTTCCTAACCATAGTATATCACTGAGAATAGAAAAGTCACTACTCTGCCAAAGACAGCTACCACTCTCTCCTAAAATCCTTGGCTTCCACCTTGTTTCTGCTGCAGCAAGGCTCCATCACACACTCTCCACTGTCAGCCAGGGGCAGCCCAGGTGCTCCGCTGGCAGGTTTCTAGCTGCAAACCCCAGAGGCGCTCCCAGCCGTGTGCTCCCGCTGCCAGGAACTCCCTCCCTCCATGTGTCCGCAAGCCAGGAACCCAACTCCCACACTTGCTGCTCAACTACGTGAAGACAGGAGGACTTTTATAGCAGGAGGGAGAGGAAGGCCGACACACAGTGATTGGCAGGCGTTCGTTTTACTGACATAAGAGCTCCAGAGGCTATTGCAATGGTCATGTAAATATCCTCAGAATTATATCATTAAATTATTTCATATTCAAGAGTGTCCCATAGTAGAGGGAAAAGAAGGTAAAACTGAAGCAAACCAGCAGGCTGGAGAGGAAGCACTGCTAGACCCGTTCTGCCAAACTTATGCCCTACCACCCCAATTATACCCATACTCCCACAGCTCAGTCCCACATTTGTAAAGGATTCCCATTGGGCTGTGATGAAAGAACCAATACTGAAAAGGGTTGTTTAAGCCCCAGCTCCTTGGATATACCAGCAGAGACAAAACAAGCAAAACCCCTTGAAGAGTACCAGTCTTGGACATAGGACATCTGCTGCCAATGAAAAACAAGAAAGATCTGTCCCCAGTTAAAAACAAGAAAGATCTGTCCTCATGTCCTCCCCCAGCCCTGCACCTCTCAGGAGGGTAGCAAGCCAGAGCAAGGGTAAGAGATACCTTCGCATTCTTCTTGATTTGAATGATCTGAAACAGGGAGGCTCCCACAAACTCATCAACAAAGAGCAAGTCAAGAACAGCCCATATTAGCAGTCAGTTCCTCTGAATTAGACAGTTGTGGCTCCTTCCTAAAAAAAATAAATACTTACCATCACCTCCCGGTTGCTTGTATGGGTTGTACTTTGGCTTGGGGGCAACAACAGGCGCAAACTTCTTTGGTGTCTGCTGGGTGGACACCGAGATACTGGGAGTCCCAAAGGTGTGTGTGGTCTCCATCCTTGCAGTAACATGACCAACAGGCTCGTTGGTACTCTTGGGTGGCAGCCAGGATGGGTGGGACATGGTTCAGATCTGAGAGGAGAGGCAAAGACAATCACACGCACGTTAGGAATTTAGGCTGCGGAAATAACAGTTGCAAACCTAATGCTTTGCTGGTTTATAAAATCAAACCCACAAAACCCTTTAACATGTTTAACTTGTGCACACTTATCTTTAAACATATTGGTCCTAACGTATAGGACTTATGATACAAACTTGTCTGTCTTTCCCCAGTAGGTCAGGATTACTGATCAGCTCATTGGTGGTGCCTGCAAAAAACGTTGCTATTTTCCTCTCCAAACCAAAGCAGAGGCAGGCTGATACCCTGGAGAAGCCCATCAATCTGCCCATCCATTCAGCATAGTAGTGATATATTTGCCTTTCCCTGTTAGCTTTTTGTGAGTACGTTAACGTACAACAGTGCAGGTGCTCTGGGGACAACTGTAGTCACAGATAGGCAGACACACTTCCAAAATACACCTTTAGCACTTTTTCACATGTCATTTAGGACCCCACATCCCAGCAACTTTCATTCAAACTTTTAAGAAAAAGGATTTCAAAAGTAGCTAATCATTCTTGATGCCTCCATTTCTGAATGCCCAGCTTAAGATATTTTAAAAGCATGTCAATTTTGAAAAAATGCCAGAATCCCACAACCACTGACAACCAGGTTCCTTTTAGACATCTCGACTTGTGTAACAGAAAACAGAGGCAGCCCAAATCATTACTTATTTATGAAAATCTTGGCTTTGGCCTCTTAAAAGCCTACATCACTTTTGAGAACTGGACTCAGACACTGCTGAAAATGTTGCCCATAAAAAAACCTGTTCGTTGCAATGAACCAGTGCTCTTCACCACACACAAACCATACTCACTGCATAGCAGCGATGGCCCTTCAGTACCATCAGATGGTCCTACAGAGCTGGATTTGAGATGTGATGAGGAAATGAAGACCCCACACAGACAAAAGCCAATGCTAATTTTGGAGCTCTTCAGCACCCTGTCGCTTCTGCCCACGCTCTGCTTTGGTGTCAGGACTCCTCAAGGCCACCAAAACCAGCAGGCAGCTGTGACCCGATCAGGAAAGATTTGCTTTGTTCATGGAAAAGGATCAGCGCAAGAGATAGCACCAGGCCATGGGAGACATTAGCAGACTGCCATTGCAGAAAAGCACTTCCATCTGTGAAGAACAGGACAAAGCAGAGGCGCTGCTGGATTTGCAAAGAGGTGGTCTCTAACCGCAGCAGCAAGTGCAATCTGCCGGGGCTGAGACACAAGGGAGAGTTGCAACTCTGCTGAGTGTGGCAGCAAAGGGCTGTATTAGCTGGTGTGAACAGTCCTCCGAGCTCAGGGTGGGGAAGAGGAAAGGTGACAGAAGAAGGGTGGCCTCTGGCAGATGTAGACCACCTTGGAGTGAAATCATTACCGAAGTCCGCAATGCTACAGCTCTCTAACTGTTCTGACACAGGTCTGTGGTCATGCATGCGGCCATCTATTTGAATGGCTCACAAGGAGGTATTTCCAAAGCTGAGAAGTGCAGCCACATACAACTCATTGATACCATGCAGGAATGCAGCCACAGGTCCACTCTTAGCCTACCTGAGCATATTCTTGGTGCCTCACAGCTAAGACTTCCATGCACACAGGCTTCTCCGAGAAACAAACAACACTGAGCTCTTTAACCAGCCCCCAGGATTATATGGAACATTTAGGCAGAAAGAAGGTATACCTGATAGCATATTTAAGTCTACCTAGAGAAAACAAAGCAGAAATCACACTTCATTTCCCCTTTCTCCTAATTTGGGCTCACACACACTAGAAACATCAAGACTAAGCTGCTGGGACTTAGGAGCAGAGCTATTTTGCCAACTCATCCTGGCTGGCAATGCATCTGCATCCTACAAGCTTCATGGTGGAGCAAATTCAGTTGAGTCCTTTATCAAAGAAGCAAACGAAGACTCTTGAGTATAAACTAGAGAAAGTAGTCTTGTGGGTTCCTGCAAGGATAACCTTGTCCTAGCAATTTGCTGTTAGCAATGCTGAATCAGTCTGGGGGAAAGGAGCAAGGCCTCCACATGGTAGTGTGGGGACAGTACCTCCAGCCAACAGCAATGACCATTAAAACTGATGTATATATATGTGTGCTTATTCCAGCCCCCTAAGTTTACTCCAGGTAACAGGTTTCCTACTTGAGGAGTCATTTCTACTTAAAGTCCCAATGTCTGACCCAACACTAGGAGATAGACAATTTGTGGTCATCTTCCACCTCCATCGCTCCTTGTGTGGGAGAGGAACTGGCAAGTGCCAAACATCAGCCTCAACACTTGTGGCTCTTCCTCACAGTGCAGTCTGACCGCTCGGCGTGCACGCAGCAGTTTCGTGATCCCTACCACTGGAGGATGAGCCTGTTGTGCTAGACACCTGATACCAGTGAAAGGAAGCCACCGGGGCCAGCATGGAGGGACTGGCTAGAAATGACGCAGACGGGAGCATGGCAGGAGCACCCTGGAGATGGACAAGCATCCAAGGTTGAGCTGCAAGGATGCAACTTTTTCTCCCACATATGCCTGCCTTCCGACCTTACATGAACAGTGCGGAGCATCATTCTGAAAGCAAGAAGTGAAAGGCAGGTCCTCCCCACAAGGCCGGAGAGGAAACAAGCCACGACGGGTGGGGGCGGAGGGCAGGCAAACCGCGCTCCCACCGCCTGGTACTTCCCGTTACCAACACCAGCCCTGATGGACCTAGAAAACGACTGCCAGTCAAGCAGTAAGACTCACCTACACAGCTGCCTCCTTCTCCACATCCTTCAAAAATGTAAAACACAGCAATAAAACTCAGACAACTATCAAGGTTTTAAGAGCAGAAAGCAATGAGGGCACTCAGTCTTAAGAGCTAAACAGGACAACTCTGCACTCTGCAGAGTTATTATATCCAAAGACGACTATACCTCACCCATTGCTAAAAGCATCCTGGAGTTTTATTCTGACAGCTTTTCAACCCCTGGCTTGACATCTCATACAAAAGAGCGTCCCGCTGCATGAAGCACCCTTGGACCCTGGGCATTACCTCCATACTGATTCAAAACCAAAAAAAACCCAGTACTGACCAGTTTATCGTCATTCCTGTCCTGGCAGCTCCCTAGTTGTTCCTTAACCACCTCCCAGGCAACACGCCTTGGTCCCACTGAGCTGTCATGGTCTGCCAGGTTCATGGCAGGGATGGGTTGAGTGATGCACAAACCAAGAATACCTGCTTCAGTAGCCAGGTTGCACAGTGCTGAGGACGCCTGAAGACGATGTGAATCTCAATGAATGAGCTTAAAAAGCACAGTGCTCTTATGGACGGTTTGGGAGCGTGAAGACCACACTGCTGTAACTCAATTGCTGACTGTAAGCTGGCATGCAGCTCCATCTCGGCTACCCTCTAACGCATTTGTTTCAGCGGTGGTGGTATTTTCTAATTGTTTCCCCATTAGCCTTTTCTCTTCCTCTTTCTCCCCCTCTCATTTTCTGTTATGCATTTGCTGCCACTCATTTTTGCTATCTGTGCCTTGACAATGTTTTCAGCAAGTTCCCTTTTCCTCGTCTGTTCCAGGCCCAGCTCCCTAGCCTCAATTAAATTTAGCCTAACTACTTTGCGAGATCATAAAAAAGGAAAATGAATTAATCTCTTTTTAACAGCTGAAGCTAAACCTCTGGGTTTGTTGTTATTTTCCCCCCATTTTTTTCATCTGGTAAAAGGCCAAGAGCAAGGCAAAATATAAAGGAAAGTGGCTTGAAGATGGGCACAGCCCCCCATCTCTCTCTGCAGACTTGTCCACGGTGGAGCACCCTGGCTAATTCAGACAGAGCCATCAGTGCTCCCTCACCTTTCCCTGCAATATTGCCTGTTTTGCAATCAGAAGCTTCTTTGGAGCAAAACAGATGAACATTTTGTGATGTGGACAAGTAACAGTACAGGGAAACTTGGGCTTATAACCAGTCCTCTTACTCTAAACCTACTCTAAACTTACTCTTACACATGCCACCGCCTCTGTGTTGCCGTGGTTCCTGCACTTGGATGGGACCCTGCAATAGGTAAAGGCAGTGCTTTTCTGGCTAGCCAGCAAACACGACCAGCAAACGCATTTCACTTTTGTCTCAGAGGCGTTTCCTTCCAAAAAAAAGGTATTTCTGCCAGTTCTACAATAAACAGTATTGTTTTCAGAAGTTTCTAGCTAGATGCGGGGTGTGGGGATTGCAGAAGTCAGTGGCTGCAAGAAGGCTAGAGTCACCAAGAAACTCGGACAACAGAAAGAACAAGCTGTATTGGATATTGCAGGCTTGAGAGAAGTAAGGAACAGGAAAAACACAATGAAGGGAGCGTCAAGATGGACGGGTGGGGAGAACCCAAGAAGCAGGACCAGAAAAAAGATCCTGGAAGCATGCACACTGGTAGGGGATAATGCGGTAAAGTGGATCTGTTCACCTTGGCCGTCAGGGATGGAGCTGTTACAATAGCTGCATTACACATTTCTGAGGGTGAATACAGCAAGCTTCTCCTTCAAGGGTAATAGCAGATGGAGTGAGAAAAACCATTAAACCCACTCTGGTTCTCCAAAATCAAACCCCCTCCACTGAAGAACAGTGAATCTCACCAGCCTTTTACTGGACAAGCCAGCTGTTGCTGCTCCTTGTATGCCAAGTGTAATGCATTAAGGGCCTGATCCATCTGCTGCTCAAGTCAATGGCTGGACCACAGAGCTCTCACTGAAAAGTTAAACTGCAGGTTAAATCTACAGTTGCCCCCACATTTCTGCTCCACACAAATCATTCGTCAGGCATGGTTTCCCTTCAACAAGCCCCTTCCTAGCAAACCTGAATAAATCTAGCCACCTAACATTTAACACAGCCAGGCTGGAATGACCTTTGTCATCAAAGCCCATGCCCCTGGGAACCTTCCTATAGAGACAGCAACCTCTTGCTTTCCCCATCAGTGCCACATCTCCCTGTCTCTTGGCTGAAGCCTTCTGCATTTCTGCCTGCCACTCT